GATGGAAACTCCATAAATAAAGTAATTAAGGACGGATTTTCCGACAACACTATCATGCAAGCTTGAAAAGATGTGAGTTTTAAAAAGTAGACTAACATAAGAAGAAATACCTCATGCAAGTTATTATAAAGTGATATAGGCAAAGAAAGGGCTGCGAGCAATATGGATATGCTCACAATAAACAGTGTACTTGACGAGAACATTAGAAATCAGAGCATAACGATACTAGAAAAATACGCGTAAATTTATACCACATGAATGTCATTCACATTCTGGAACTTTATTGCACGGATTGCTCTTCTTTCGAATCACTACTGTACCACGTTGTCGTTTCACCACTTCTAAGCGGTAGTGTAACAGCATGCGATTAAACTAAATATACAAATTCGAGGTCAACGAAAGAAGCCGCTTGAAACAAAAGGATGGAGTAAAAAATTGCTTACCTTACCTACCTGCATAGAATTGGGTCGATCTTTGATACGAAACTCGATGCCCATCTCTCCCCGTCCACCCTCAAGTGCGAACCTTTCTAGTCGCTTTTGCAGCTGAGACATCTGGAGTTTTTGTTGTAGCCGGCGTGCCCTTCTTTCTTCCATAGGATCCTTAAAGGAAAAAAGGTAAAATGAAACAATATTTTGGAAGGAAGAGCTATGGACAGTCTTGGACACCTGTGGAAAACATATTATGAACAAATAAGCTAGAATGTGAAAATACAAAACTCATATCCAAAAGTGCAGCTATTGGAAAAGAAAACATGAAATTGCTGCAAAACCTAATCACTCTTTTGAAAGTCATTTTCTCATCAACCGATTTTTGGTCATGATTGGAACTACATCACCTTTACGACTGATACCGTACACATTACTATATTAGGCATTCTTGTGAAAGCAGAAGATGAAGTGATCTCACAAAGTCACCCTCTGTCACGGAGGGCGCGTACCCGACCCAGTCGCTTTGCTCGTCATCAGCATCGGCTGCACAATTCCCACCATCACTTTCACTTGTCGACGAAAGACACGACTCAGCACCGTCCCATTCCATTCTGCTGTCTTAAAATATATTTATGTGAAAGTAATCCTCGCTGCTTTAATTTAGTTTCTTAACATGAACATGAAATGACAACATTAATACTTCCTATAACAGATTCTTTACAAAATTACCATTACGTTAAAAAATACAGATCTCAACTATGAAATGATTAATATTTCGACGATATAATATTGTTGCTTTACTATATCACTATTTCGCTTGCTTTCTTTGGCAAAGAAAAACAAACAAACCCGTAGTAAAAATTTCGTAAGAAACTCGTTTGTTACACTTATAAGGTAGATAAATGAATAAAACGGTGAAAGATGATGCTTTCAGATTTCAAAGACAAGCTGAAAAGTAATGTGGTGCCGCATCCGACTACAGCCATGTCTTACATTAATGTTGTTTATCATGTTATGTCAGCGTTGCCATATGGAAGAGTTAAGAAGAAGCAATTTATGAATTATAAACTTCAAAAAA